ATAATTCTGAAATAAATAACATTGTAGTACAGATTTATAGATAAACATGGTAATATACAAAAATATAAACACTGTAGTATGCAAAGTTATATATAAACATTGTAGCATACAACGTTATATATAAACATTTTAGCATACAAAGTTATATATAAACATTGTAGTATACAACATTGTAGTATATACAAAGTTATATATAAACATTGAAGTGTTCAAAGTTATAGATAAACATTGTTGTATACAAAGTTATAGATAAACATTGTTGTATACAAAGTTATATATAAACATTGTAGTATACAAAGTTATATATAAACATTGTAGCATACAAAGTTATAGATAAATATGGTAGTATACAAAGTTATAGATAAACATTGTAGCAAAAAAGTTATATATAAACATTGTAGTATACAAAGTTATAGATAAAAATTGTAGTATACAAAGTTATATATGACATTGTAGTATACAAAGTTATAGATAACATCAAACATCATTGTAGAGCAAATGTACGAATACTGTAGTAAAATTAGGTCACCGTACAATGAGGTAAGTTAAATCAAAATCTTCAATAATGTTGCACTTAATAAAAAATTATATTCAGGACTTTGAATAAAACCCCTGTTTACCTTAGATATAGCTAATGTTAACAAAGAGTTAATGTGCAACGTGTACCTGTTGTTAACTACCTGTCACAAGTTAAGGCTACCACGTAAATTTTCACCTGTTGATTCATCAAACAAAAATGTGTGGCCTGTAATTTGTAGAGTGTATAGACCTGCTATGTGGCAGCAGTGGTTGTCTAACTCTGGGGGTAAGTTACCAAAAACAGATCACTGTGCTGGGACTAATGTTATAGCATATTCACTTTGATTGATTGCCTACAGTAGTGAGGTTATTGGTATTCCTTTGCCAATTGTACATTTGATCATCACAGGTTTATATGATACAGGTATATACACAGTTTTACAAGAAAAAAACAAGGACCTAACAATCCATTGTGTTACATATTGTCTGTATATAAACCATGTTTATGTATGTTTATGATTATTTATAACAGTTTCAATGGATGTGTCTATACTTTTACAATAATCTAATGATAACTTTATACTTTTACCATATGAAGATGGTTACAAAAGCCGTAATTTCTCTGTTGGAGTAGTCCTGAAGTTACCATATGGTCATCAATCAGAACAGCTAGTGCTGACAATTGATCATTGTTTATACATTACATTGATATTTAGACACATTTGAAAATTCAGTTTTGTAAATATTGCATGCATTTATGGGAGAAGTTTTAATGCTGGTAGTTCACTCAGATGTCATTGGTATTGTGTTATGACTACTGAAATTAGGAATCGAATTTAACAACATACAAAATGCCTGATGTCATAACAGTAAATCATGATAACGAATCAGCAGCTACTAATATAACACATGCATTGCATTTGCATTTTTTTTTTAAATACTGAAGTATCCCTGTTGACTATTAATGAATTGGTCCTGGCAATAAATAGCATTGATTTCTACTCTAAAAATTGCCAAATACATGTAGTTTCTGATCAATTGACTCAAATCTAATTTAGGAGTGAGAACAAACAATACTTAAATGAGACAGTGTTCTCCATAGAGACAGCTTCTGCTCTTGTCAATTGTTCTTGCACAATATGCTGCATAGATTTGCATATTGAGATTTTCCGGTTGAGTCAAGTTCATTGGTGGGTGACACTAGAAGTGCTGGTTGTGACGTTAATGTGCTCTGCCAGTTATGGTGCTGCTATAGCTAACATCTCTCCTAGATTAATGCCTTCCCAAACCAGATCACACAGTTTGCAGTAGAAATGGCCACTTAATATATATTGATTGTTTTTTCTGTGACAGTAAGTAAAACAATAATTCGATTTGGGCATGTGTCTGTCTGAGCAACTGTTTCTATGGATTAATGCCTTTGTCAAATCTTATTTCTACAAAAATCATTCAAGGACGAAATTTTAAAGTATACAGTAGGCATATAAAAGTGTAATGTAGATTGTAGTGACACGCGGGGTTAGTCAGCTAGGAATCATTGTCACTTGATTTCTAAGTTTTTGTTGTGATAAAGTGCTCCAACACCTGTTGCGACCCAATAAAAGTTGGTAGTCATTTGTTTGTCAATAAATGATGTCAGATCTAAATGTAGATAATCGTGTAGATAGGTATTAGTCAGAGTGTGGATTTGTGTATTGTGAAGTAGTAAGGCAGAACTTCGGGTACGTTATATATATAGGTAATATTTGTCATCCTGTTTAACTGTGTAAGGGAGATAGTGACTAAGCGCGATTGTATTTACACTGTATCACATGTTGAGTCTCCCTCATGTGACGGGTAGCTACCAATGATCATACATTACAGCTAAACCTCACAAATTGCACACCCAGCCTCTAGTGATCAGCTGCTCTGTATACCCTCACAACACCCGCCCCACTGAGATCATAACACAGCTCTGTATACCCTCGCATCACCCTCCCCACTGAGATCATTACACTGCTCTGTATACCCTCACATCACCCTCCCCACTGAGGTCATTACACAGCTCTGTATACCCTCACATCACCCTCCCCACTGAGGTCATTACACAGCTCTGTATACCCTAACATCACCCTCCCCACTGAGATCATTACACAGCTCTGTATACCCTCACAACATCCACCCCACTGAGATCATTACACTGCTCTGTATACCCTCACAACACCCACCCTACTGAGATCATTACACTGCTCTGTATACCCTCACATCACCCTCCCCACTGAGATCATTACACAGCTCTGTATACCCTCACATCACTCGCCCCACTGAGATCATTACACTGCTCTGTATACCCTCACAACACCCACCCCACTGAGATCATTACACAGCTCTGTATACCCTCACATCACCCGCCCCACTGAGGTCATTACACTGCTCTGTATACCCTCACAACACCTGCCCCACTGAGATCATTACACTGCTCTGTATAACCTCAAAGACTTTACACCTGTCTTCGAGTGATCATGGTAGGTGCTGATGAAGATGCAGAAGAAATCAATTTGAAAGTGTGGTATTTTTAGCATTATGCTGCATCATGCATGCACTTTTCTGTGTTGCACAACAGGTAGATCCTACTCTGTGTCATTACCCTATACCTGTATAACCTAGCTGCGTCATTATTCCTGTATAGCTTACCTGTGTCAGTTGCATACACTTACTACCTTGGTAACCAGCTTTTCTAGACTGGATTTTTCCTCTGGTGTTAGATAAGTTACATTGTAGAATACACAGGAACATTAAGATGTTAACTGAAGCTAAATTAAGACTGAGTCTTAGAATTAGGAATAGATGTATAATGAATTGGGAGATATTTGAACACTGGAGTTGAATTAAGCATCATGGTTAACTGGGATTGTTAAAAGTAAAACAGAAATATGCTTTTATTGGGCAAGTTCTGAATTATGTCAGAACCATGCGGCATGCAGAGAAGTTTTTGATGCTTTCGTGTTATGACTATAATGCACTCCTGCCATGTGAAAATAGGTGCAGGAATTAGGACATGCAGGTACAACATATGCAGAATACAGTATCATTGGGACAAACATGATGGTGACCTACTTCAATAGTTATAATTGTACAGTGTTGTATTCTGTTTTCATGCTGTTCAGGTATTTAGGTTTGGAAATTAGCTACTAGGAAGGAAATAAAACATCATTTAGAATTATATCAAAAGTTTGAGATCATTCTAGAAAACTTAAAATGATGGGCGGAGACAGGGTTTTTCCCTATGTCATCAAGTATTGCGAAATAATAGCTTGTGATACCCAGTAAGTAAACCTTACCTCACTTAAAGGGCTAGATACCTTTAAACCTTGGTAATATCAATTATCCTGCCAGATTATATTAAACATGAACTACCACTAACCAAAAGGACTGTTAGCTAGGATAAGTTGCCAGTAAAATCCTATTAAATGACTGCTGCATAATGTAAAGAAAAACATGTAGATGTTGTAAGGACACCATGATACGGTGTTTAGATTAAGATACAACAGTGCTTGTGATGACTGATAACAGCCTATAATGTCCTTACACCACTAGAATAGGCTGTTGTAAGGCTAGGTGAGATGCCTGTGGTCAACTTTAGGGTCACCCACTGACCACAAGGAGAAAATCAAATTCCTATCTTTGTATGTGTTTAAATGTGATAGTAGTTCATGCTTAATATTAGTTTTGTGTCATCATTTCACCTGTAGTCGTCAATTCACCTGTACTCAGGTTTTTACCTTATATGGTATCTTGATTTCTCTGTGTTTAGACTAATAGGGGTGAAAAACGTAAACAGGACATACTTAGAATAGTTAAGGAAGAAGGACATTATGAACCTCGACTCCATTTAGGAATTATCTAGGAAGGTTTGGTCATCACATATATTGTGACAGGAATAATTATCATACCTGGCTGATAAAGCAGATTAATGATAATGTTTATCAATTGTTTCTCATAGCGAATTGTCGATATGGACTTAACTATTAAACAGATAACAATTTTGAAAACTGTCTCCAGTTTCAATTGCATGTTACGGATGAATTACATATAACAAAGGTAAAACATTTAAGCGGTGAATTAGTGGCATTTATTTACCATTATGCCATACAGGTATTTTGTAGCCGTCTTTTCAGTAGAGATTATCAGTGCGTCCCGTTCCTGCTTTCATCTGGATATTACGTACACTTGAACAGTCTTCAATTAACAACACCATTTTTTTGGAAGAAATTCAGTCCAGGGCTTTCTTTGGTTATTGTTCAAAAGCCATGACATAAATTTTGATGCCTTATAGGTTTTTGTACATGTAGTATAATAGCGAGGTAGAGATAAGTATTCAAAGAATTTAGATTTAGCACAGCGTGGGATAATCCAGGAAGTGTTTTTATCTAGGTGTTGTTATACCTTCTTATGAAGCTGATACTTAAGTGAAATTACTTTTTCCTTTTTAACTTAAACAGGAAGAAAACTTAGAAGCTGTTCCAGTAGTTGACCAGCAACAGGATAGAAAATGAATGTGAACGGGTTGAGGATGTGCCTCGTGCTTCTGTTTGGAGAAAGAGAAGAAAAGCCAGAACACCCCTGGAGGCAACCTGAGTAAACAGACACCCGAGTAGAGCAGATACCAGTCTTAGGACACAGTCATGTGAATGAACATCTGAGCAATTTTTGAAACAGATTTCCTTCTTTAAAAAAGTTGCCAAAAAGTTGTAAAGATGTTTTTTAAGATTTCTTCAAGCTTCAGAAACGGTTAAGAAATCCACCTGTTACATAGTGGTAGTTGAGGAAAATGGGGATTTTAACATTAGGTGTTTAAAAATAAAACCACTACGCCATGTACACATTTATGGACCAGCTTGTGGACTGTGAGGCTCTGGACTCCAGTGACCAATGCGGAGAAGAGGCTGAGGTCGAGAGTCAGGAGGAGGAGCCTGTGTGGAATCTTGTAGACTGTGACTCTCTTGTAGAACTCCTCAAAGCAGGTCTTGAGAAGGTAAGTCATATTATCATCCATACCCCCCTTGACTTGAGTTGGGATATCAATCTTCCTGCTTTACGATTTAGATGTCAAAGCAGGTCAAGTCATTTATTTCAATATGACCTCAGTGATGTACCCCTGTTATCATATTATACCCCTGCTGCTTTGTGATATACCCCTACCTCTGCTTGATATACCCCTGCTGTTGTGTGATATTAACCTATTGCTGTCCATGTGTTATTCCCCAGCTGCTGTGTGATTTTATACCTTCTGCTGTGTGATATATACCTCCTACTGTGTGAGACACCCCTATCGGCATGTTATAAACCCCTGCTGCCCTGCGATATTATACTTCTGATGCCGTGTGATATACCCCTGTTATATATCCCTGCTCCCTTGTGATACACACCTTCTGCTGTGTGATATTTTACCCCTGTTGTCATGTTACATATCCCTGTTGCCATGTTATATATCCCTGCTCCCGTGTGAGATACCCATGATGGCATATTATATATCCCTGCTCCCGTGTGAGATACCATGATGGCATATTATATCCCTGCTCCCGTGTGAGATACCCATAATGGCATGTTATATATCCCTGCTCCCTTGTGAGATACCCATGATGGCATGTTATATATCCCTGCTCCCGTTTGAGATACCCATGATGGCATGTTATATATCCCTGCTCCCGTGTGAGATACCCATAATGGCATGTTATATATCCCTGCTCCCGTGTGAGATACCCATTATGGCATGTTATAAGTATATAAGTATAGACTTATGATTCAATACATGTCTTAAATGAGTTTCCATTTCATTTGAAATTTATGAAATGAGTTGGATGATTTTTTTCATATTTGTGAGGCTCTGCTCTGTTTCATAAATGTCATATAAAGTGGAAACAAAACAAAAGATATTTTTTATCACATTGCTATTTTTGTGGAAAAACATGTTTCATTATCAAGATTTCTTTTTGTCCATATTTTTGTCCTCTCTACTGTCTTCAATTAGGGATCACAGTACAATTAGGTAACATCAACATGGTTTTGTACATTGTTACAACATTAACATGTGATACCAAGGTTTGTGTAATGACAATATTCTCTAATCCGTTGACCTACTTTTCACATAGATTGCAATTTGCCACTCTAATCTATGAAGTATATCTGATGTTTATTTAGCATGTCGTTTGAAAAGCATTGATGTATTATGCTCTGTGCATGCTCATTTAAAAGTCAAATGTGTTTCTCTGATGATATGAGATGTTTGTTTATGTCCAAAATTTATAAGTAGGAGTTGTTCCCCTTTTGTAATGTGCTTTTCCCTTAACAGATTTGTAAAAAGCTGTTCCCCTTTTGTAATATGCTTTTCCTTCAACAGATTTGTAAAAAGATGACTGTTTGTCAAATTGTATTTTCTAAGTGCCATGCTACTCAAAATAGTAAAACCATGCAAAGATTTAACTTCCATGCTATTCTGAGAAGTAACATCAGGATAGGATTTATCTGTCATGCTATTCTGCGTAGTAAAGTCAGGCTAGGTATTAACTGCTATGCTATTCTGAGCAGTGAAGTTAGATAAGGATTTAACTGCTATGCTATTCTGAGTAGTAAAATCAGGCTAGAATTTAACTGATATGCTATTCTGAGTAGTAACATCAGGTTAGGATTTATTAGTCATGCTAGTCTGAGCAGTAAAGTTAGATTAGGATTTAACTGCTATGCTATTCTGAGCAGTGAAGTTAGATTAGGGTTTAACTGCTATGCTATTCTGAGTAGTAAATTCAGGCTAGAATTTAACTGATATGCTATTCTGAGTAGTAACATCAGGTTAGGATTTATCTGTCATGCTAGTCTGAGTAGTGAAGATAGATTAGGATTTAACTTCCATGCTATTCTGAATAATGAAATTAGATTAGGATTTAACTTCCATGCTATTCTGAACAGTGAAGTTAGATTAGGATTTAACTTCCGTGCTATTCTGAGTAGTAAAATCATGCTAGAATTTAACTGATTTTCTATTCTGAGTACTAACATCAGGTTAGGATTTATCTGTCATGCTGGTCTGAGTAGTGAAGATAGATTAGGATTGAACTTCCATGCTATTCTGAGAAGTAACATCAGGATAGGATTTATCTGTCATGCTGGTCTGAGTAGTGAAGATAGATTAGGATTGAACTTCCATGCTATTCTGAGAAGTAACATCAGGATAGGATTTATCTGTCATGCTATTCTGCGTAGTAAAGTCAGGCTAGGTATTAACTGCTATGCTATTCTGAGTAGTAACATCAGGTTACGATTTATCTGTCATGCTAGTCTGAGTAGGGAAGATAGATTAGGATTTAACTTCCGTGCTATTCTGAACAGTGAATTTAGATTAGGATTTAACTGCTATGATATTCTGAGTAGTAAAATCATGCTAGAATTTAACTGATTTTCTATTCTGAGTACTAACATCAGGGTAGTATTTAACTGCCATGCTATTCTGAGTAGTAAAATCAGGTTAGGATTTAACTTCCAGGCTATTCTGAACAGTGAAGTTAGCTTAGGATTTAACTTCTATGCTATTCTGAGTAGTAACATCAGGTTAGGATTTAACTGCCATGTTATTCTGAGTAGTAACATCAGGTTAGGATTTAACTGCCATGCTATTCTGAGTAGTAACATCAGGTTAGGATTTAACTGCCATGTTATTCACGTTATGAATTATGGCCGAAATGTATATCTTGCAAAAAGTGCTTTGATATAAAATATAAATAAGTCAACAAAAAGTACATTTCTACTCCCCATTCCACACTTACATGTATGTGTATTCAAGGACAACCATTACAGTGATCATAAAAGATGTTGAATATCTAAGACCAGGTTCAAGATTTCATTACAGTAACGGTTTCAGTGGGTTTTTGGATGACTTAGACTATCACTACATAGTTGGCCTCTGGGAAATGGATTGTTTTTTTGTGGCTTTGTGGTATTCCCACCTGCCTATGCAGGAGTATCGATACAGGGAATCTCGTGGATACATGAATGGATTAAAGGTTGGAGTAAGAGATTCATAAAAAATGGATACAAATGTTGTATGAGTAGAGCCCCAAGAGAGTAACATTTTTGGCAAAATGTTCGGGCTGTCATCGTAAACTTATGTTTTCATGCTGAGTTGTATTGGCTCATTCATTGATGGGAAACTTAATGGCTATCAGGGAAAGAGATGTTTGCTTTAAAAACACTTTTTGAAAATTAAAGTTAAAAACCTGGAAAATATAATAGGAATGTCTGACTACTTAATTTGCTGACTCGGAGTTAGTGCTTGCCCAGGTATTGGAAATCACTGGAGCCTTTGATAATGAACAATTCTGGGATGAACAAAGGGAAATAGAAGTTTATTTACCTGTAAGTTTAAAGTATTATCTTCATTAACATGAAAAGGAAATCAGAGTATTTTATTATTTATCATGTTTTTATTAGCTCACCTGGCCCGAAGTGAGCTTATGGCATGGTGCATTGTCCGACGCCCGTCCGGCGTCTGTCGTACAGCGTCTGGCGTCAATATTTTACTTTAAACAACTTCTTCTTAATAACCGCAAGGCTTAGGGTGATGATATTTGGCCAGAAGCAAACTGGGATGAAGGGCTACCAAGTTTGTTCAAATAAATGACTTTCACCTATATTCTAGGTCACAGAGGTCAAATATGTTAAAAACTTTAAACAACTTCTTCTGAATAACCGAAAAGCCCAGGGTGATGATGTTTGGTCAGTAACATGCTGGGATGCAGGGCTACCAAATCTGTTCAAATGAATGATCTTGACCCACTTTCAAGGTCTATGGGGTCAGATGTCTTAAAATCTTCAAACGACTTCTTCTCAGTAACCAAACTGCCCAGGGTACTGATATTAGGCTGTAGCATGCTGGGAAGAAGGGCTACCAAGTTTGTTCAAATGAATGACCTTGACCCACTTTCAAGGTCACAGAGGTCAAATATGTTAAAATCTTTAAACGACTTCTTCTAAATAACCAAAATGCCGAGGGTACTATTATTGGGCCTGTAGCATGCTGGGATGAAGGGCTACCAAGTGTGTTCAAATGAATGACATTGACCAACTTTCAAGGTCACAGGGGTCAAATGTTTTAAGATCTTCAAATAACTTCTTCTCAATAACCGAAAGGCCCAGGGTACTGATATTAGGCCTGTAGCATGCTGGGATGAAAGGGCTAATAAGTTGATTCAAATGAATGACCTTGACCCACTTTCAAGGTCACGGGGGTCAAATGTTGTAAAATCTTCAAACAACTTCTTCTCAATAACCGAAAGGCCGAGGGTACTATTATTGGGCCTGTAGCTTGCTGGGATAAAGGGCTACCAAGTTTATTCAAATGAATGACCTTGACTTACTTTCAAGGTAACAGGGTTCAAATGTCTTAAAATCTTCAAACAACTTCTTCTCAATAACCAAAAGGCCCAGGGTACTGATATTGGGCCTGTAGCATGCTGGGATGAAGGGCTACCAAGTTTGTTCAAATGAATGATCTTGACCCTCTTTCAACCTAATGTCCTTGTTCGACATTCAAGGTCACAGGCGTCATATGTTTAAATCTTTTAATAAGTTCTTATGAATCAAACATTAATATTCTGCCTGTAGTTGTATTTTTGTCCACTTTAAAAATTACAAGTGAGAGATTAATAACAGGTGAATGATGCAGACCCATTGGGCCTCTTGTTGTCGTTAGATTTAATATACAGGAAATTTAGCATCCCATCGGTGAGCTGTGATGATTTATATAAAAGAACAGGATTTGTTCTAGTTGGACGATTTTCTGTTACATTAAATAGATAGATGATTGAAATCAAACAAAGTGTAGAATGGGCCATTCAGACCCTGAAGTAGCCAGCAATCACATGGTGTAAACACAAGCTGTGATTGAAAAAGGATTATCTCATAGAAAAGAAATGCAATAACTGCTAAACAAACTAAATATGAGAGGGACGTTGATTTATTTTTTGCTGAAGTAATTACTAT